TCCAATGAATTTGGAAGTAAACATCATCAGAAGTTACACAACAACAGTAATTAAGTTTTAGTTTATAAGATTATAATTTTTAACTTTTAACTTTACACCTGAAGATGGTTCAATGTAACCGAAACATGTAGTAAAAAGATGTACCAAATATGTAAATGATATTTTAATATCTTATGTATAATTTTATTTATATACAATTGTGATTAGACGGAAAAAACACGAATAATTAAATTTAAATTCACACTATGATGCAATTATATCAACTTATAAATGTATATATTAAAACAAGCAAATTTCTTACCGACAGGCCACTTAAATACTGTCAGTGTTATCTTAGGGGGCATTTAAATATCGGCTTGAAGAATTAATTATATCAATGTATATTCACTACTTACATTAGCACCATAACTTACCTCCTGCTGCTTGTACAAAGAATTAATAGTTTCCGTCCTTTTGGGGGTTCTTTTTTCAAAAGAACAAGGAGTGCCTGTAGTGTAAGGTTAGAATAACGAGGTCCAATTGGACCGTAATCAAGAAGACGTTCAATGTTGTCCACCAATATACAGCTCAACTGCGAGCGGTAAGCATCATCAAATACCTGAATCCAAAACAGAACTGAGCTAAGAACTGAAACAACTGTAGGCCAAATTACTTTATGTTCATTATTAATGTAAATAGCCATCACAGTGGCCGTGTGGTCTAAGGCATGGTGGGCCTTGTGCCGCTTGGTCACTGGGACCATGGGTTCAAATACCACTCCAGGCATGGATGTTTGTCACTGTCTTTCCATGTTGTGCTGTCCTGCGTATAGGTAGAGGCCTTGCGATGGGCCGATCACTCGTCCAAGGAGTCCTACCAATTGTCTAATAGATCAAAGCCAACGAAAGCTGGGACCCGCAAATGCTCAAGGCACTGAATAACGGGTAGTCTAAGTATCCTAAGTAAGTATTAATGTACAGAGAATGCCTAGTACCATTAGAGAATGACAACCAGGAAATATTAGGGCAAAATTTCACAGAGAGACTTCACAAACAATAATTTATGGAACACTACATGATAAGGAAGATGGAAGCTCAAATACTCACCAAATTGACATGCATTACTTAAATAAAGGAGTTGGGTAACAATCTTTGAAAGTATTAGCAATGGTGTTTCTTAGCCAGCTGTCTAGCTGTAGTAGTCCAGGGCATATTTTCTTATGGCTCCATTCTGCTACAAATCCACACTCAAATAGTTATAACTTGTTCAGTTTCAAATCCGCAAGAACATTTTAATATGTGGTGAACCTCATGTCTTAAAAACCTCTTACTTAGCACAACTCAACCCCTTCTTTATAAATCTCCATCTTATTCAACCCGGAAGTATCAACTCAGGCTCTATATATTCTAAAATGCACACCAAGAGCTACTTACAACCTTGATCCCATGTTAAAAGCAGATCCAACTTCATGGACGAAATTAAAGTAATTAGTTGCTGGTGTTAATATTGCACATGATCAGACACATGTAACTGGTACGTCTCGCTTCCTATCATTCTTCTATGGGGTCGACGATCTAGTTTCAAACCCTCAACTTCTGTCAGTTTGTATGACATGTGACTCAGTCTATACTGTAAATTTTAAACATCTAGAATACTGATCCAAAAAGTTCAACATATCTTTCTTATGCAAGATGATGAGTTATATTTATACAAACATCAGCTAATTATATATAAAAAACCAACATAAACAAGGATTTTTGTGATAAAAATTTGACAAATTTCAACACACGCAGCTTGCTGAAAGACTTCAACTTTAACAATTTTAATCAATTTTATAATTTCACTATTCTTAATGTGATAATGACATTTACACAATTATGTCAGTCAATAGTATCCTTACATAAATCCACCTGAAGATGGTTCAACCTGGGTCAAAACATGTAGTGGAGTAAACCAATGAATCGGTAAAACCAAATAAAATCAGATGTGTGGTCAGATTTTTGTGCCATTTCACTTCTATTCCTCTGTTAACCATTGGCATGGCCAGGGATACGTTCTCAGCTATAAAGTGAGTAGGTATTTTTTCCTTAGTGGTCTGCATGTTGGTGTGACTTTACAGTCAATCTTCCGGAAAAGTTGTCAAAATGGAATGAAAGCCTAGGCAAACAGCACATAAAACATGGATAGATGGCAAAACAATTTATTAAATGCACGAAATGAAGGTGAGGACAGTACAGAAAACAATAAAGTCCCAGAAAACTCTAACATACGATGAAGCGGGGACAGATGTCAGATTTGGAAACAGTAATAACACAAATGAAAAATTAGAGATCACCAGGATACGACGATGGATCTGTTGACATAATCACAGTAGTGAGATCAATTGGTACATGCTGGCTATACTGAGACTTATCGTGAGAAAAATTTGGGTATAAAACAGAATATCAGAAGACAGGTACAAAGGAATCACTGTATATATTTACAAGAAAAGAGACAAATGTGGAAACTACACCGGACTTACAACGTTGTGCCAAACACTAAAAATTTATTAAAGGACACTAATAAACATAATGACAATGGAAATAAAATTAAAACTGGCAGAACTATATGCATTCAGAAAACAAGGGCAAATACAAACCAAGTTTTTGGGATAAGACAGCTAACTGAGAAGAAATAAGAATATACAAAAGAGTTGATGATATTCATAGATTAAAAAAAAAACATTTGATAACACAAGAATGGAAGTGATATGGAAAAGTAGGAATTTCAACAGATTTTTTTAAGAAAGTAAAAAATACATATGAAAAGATTATAAACTGTATTAAAGCAAGAATGGTCATCATGGGTTGAGACCATACAGGGTAAACACACTTCACATACTGAGACAAAAGAGAATATTTACATTTAAACCTTAATTACTATTAATAAACACAACTGAAATTCAAAAGAAAGAAATGTACTGATTTTGAATGCCCTCTACTCCCTCTCCCCTTCCCCAAACCAAAAGAAACAAAAATAAAAGAGCACCTACCTTTCTTATATGCAAACATTTGGCAGATTCAGTGAAACCAACCATTTCTTCTGGTGTACAAACTTTCACAAAAGGAAAGTCTGAATTTTTTGCAAGTTGCGCAGCTAGAGCTGTCTTTCCAGAATTTGGTGGGCCTTCAAGAAGAACAGAAACTAAACCTGATGTGTCGGTAGCCCTGGCCTGCTGTATGAACAACATTCCGTCTTCTAGGATACTGCTTACAGGAGTACCCCAGTTAATGATTCCGCGAGCAAGAAAATGTTCCAGCACTTCACCACTTGTTCCAAAGGCCTAGTAAAAAAAAATCAGCATTTATCACCACACAAAAGTATTACGATTGAACTTGATTTGAGTTGCTTTATAATTTCTTCCTATTCTTTACAGAAACATGTGGCTTCTTCAGAACACACACCTTAGAAAAAACCAATAAGGAATATGTAACAGTTTTACAAATAAATACTTAACCTATTTTCCTTCCTTATGGGTAAAAAGTAAGCTTATGTGATCTGAACACTTTGTGTCCCCCCATTCAACTTTTCAACCAAGTAAATTGATTTTCACAGAAAATGGTGTGCCACTACAGACCAGGAAATCCTTATATATTTTATTTCCTATAGTCAGTAACAACACAGTGGATGCAAAAACCTGTGACATGGAGGCAACACCATAATGTCTGTACCTAGAATTGGCAGCTGAGGCTTGCAAGGTCGCTTGGTCAAGAAGCAGGTTGTGTAGAATGCAATAATACTACCCCCCGCCACACACACACACACACTAACAACTGCATCACAATGCTAAGGTATTTTAATAGCAGCAGCAACAAACACAATGACAACAACAATAATAATACATTAATGTGTTATAGTAAAACATTTCTTTTATATTCTTCCAATTTTTGTGGTCTGGTAGTGTACTAGTATTCAAAATTGGAAAATGGCCGCAAATAATAGATCTTCATGGAGGCAGAAAATTGAGGAGGCTAAGGCCCGATATGGGCTGTAGAGCCATTGGCTGGATGGAGTGTACTAGTAACAAGACCAGAGCATTCACCAATTATTTGTAGGACCAGAAGTCTATAAAAGATTAAGCTTCGTAAGTTCTGCCAAAAAACACTTTGTTAGATTTTTCAGAGCAATAACATTTAACTTACAGGTTTGATATCATTTTCAAGAGCATGAAGAAAGTCTGATCGATTCACCAACAACTTCTCCATAGCTTCAGGATCAACTTCCACTTTGCTAGCAGCCTTAATGAGACGGTTCATTGCCGTGGACTGTGCAGCACGCACCAAACCTTCCAACTCAGCTCCACTAAAGTTCTTTGTTAGAACTGCCAATTCCTACAACATTACATACCAATTAAAGTTCTGTAGTCACTTACCCATATCAACAGTCTCAAAAATCTGGCCAACAGTACATGTACCTCTGTACCCAGAGATAAGAAACGAATGTACACTGGAATATTTTATAACATCACACTCTACTAAGTAGATTTTAAAACTGGCATGACAAAAAACTTCTATAAAAAGAATGTTTCAGTGATTAATCTACAAATAAGCATCCAGCCCTAGATGAACACGTGTGAAATGAAAGCTGGTACTAGTATAATTCTTCATCTTTCTGGGAGGTCAAGGCCACATTTTGGCTCATCCATGCCGTACCACCACAGCCAAGCAGATTACTTCACTTTAACCTCAGACGAAGGATAGGTGCATCAGAGAGTGGACTGTGTTCTGTAGTTGACATAACTCAAATTGTACATCCATGTTCAAAATACATATTAGTAATAAGGTGAGACACACGTGTCTGGAAAAGACATGAAGTGTCTTGCAACAACACGGGTACCAATGCTGGACAGTGTCCGAAGATAATGCAGAAGCTAGTATAATATTAAAGAGGAACCCTCAAAAGTCTGTTCACAGAGGAAGTTCATAATTAGACCTACCTCACTCAACTGTACATGTCCATAAGCATTTTTCCACGTGAGCATTTATGACTGTGGGGGTTTCTTTTGTGCAGAATTTTTATGTGGGCTTTTGTTATGGAACCCATTTATACATGACTTCCATAAACTTTCATCAAGTCCAATAGCACGGGCCATCAGAATTCACGTATAAAAATTATGAAATTTTCCATCAAGCAACATAAAATCATTCTAACTCACCTTGATGTCAACATCTGGATTGATTTTCTTGTAATCCTTCATCCTACTTGTATGGATATTAAGAATTTGGAATCGTCCTTGTTCATTTGGTAATCCAATTTCCATTTGTACCTATGGAAGACCAGTTAATTTAAATTATGAAATACAACATTAAAAAATTCCTATTAACCTTTAAACGATGGGCATTTAAATGGCAAAGTGGTAGCAGCCCTACGGAGTTTTTTTGCGGGTATTTAAATTTTTGTGCACGCTCTACGGAAAACTTTAATATTATCTAAAGTAAACATGTCCAGTGTCCAAAATAACTTCTAGTATTTCTTCAGGCTTTAGTAAGTTTACTTTCTTTTTTGGAAGCTCAGTCAATATGGTAGAAGCCATGGTTGTAAACTACTGACCACACAGAAAATTTTGTTTTCCTCTACTTCAGTGGATACACATTCTTTTCACAGATCATGCTGAGGAATGTGAGTAGCTTTGAATAGGGGGTCTGACAACTATGCTGAAACCCACTTGACATAAACAAAGTTTATTGCTGTTTATGGTTATAGTTTCCGGGTTAACAGCTCAGGTTGAACTTGTCAGAACCCTATAGAGAGTGATTCAATGCTTGCAGCCCCTAAAAGTGGCCAAAAGATGTACCCAAGTCTCCTAACAGTGTTGCAAGTATTTACGTTCCGGACAAGGAACATTCGTAGGGCTGAGTACTCAATTTACGTTCATGACAAGGAACGCAAGTAAGATAAAGGTTAACAATCATTCAGTGTCTCATATAACTGCAAAAGGTCATGAAACTTTACCTCTAATCTTCCTGGTCGAAGCAAAGCTTCATCAATCATGTCTCTGCGATTAGTCATTCCAATGACTAGAATGTTATTCAGCTGTTCAACACCATCTATTTTGGCAAGTAACTGATTTACAACTGTATCATGCACTCCGGTATTACCAGCCACTGAGCCTCGAGACTTACAAATTGCATCAATTTCATCAAATATGATAATATGAAGGCCACTGTTAGGACCAAGCTGAAAACAATAACAACACAACAAATTAGGATATAAATCATTTTTATTTAAATTTTTTACTCCATGACTTTTAAAATTACTTAGTATCCTTAATTCAACATGTAAATTTTCCACAATTTCTAAACACATCCAAACAGGCTCCTGTTCTGTATTAAACTTCTGTCTCCATGGAGGGTCTGCCATAGGTCTTCAATGAAATTCTGACTGCGAAGGGAATTCTGATTTAAAGAGACCACTTGAAAGAATAAGGTATCAATGGTAACAAAATATTGAGCATGTTTCTTAAGAAAAGAAAATTAAATTATGTGAACTGGATTGAAAAAGATGAGGGCTATTCAAAAAGATTGTCAGGGTTTTAAAAAATCACTACACGTAGTACAATTGAGGTAGGAATACAAATCTTGTTTTATTGTGTAGCAAAACTCTCAAAGTTTTATAAATGCATTATAAATATTGCACCTTTTGTCACTCTGCAGACATCTACAAGATAGTCCATTTCTTTCAACACATGCCCCAGCGTGTCAGCGGTGATGTTTAGAATGGCGGCTCTGATACGCACCTTCAGATCCAGGATAGTTGCAGGTAGAGGAGGGACAAAGACTTGATCCTTCACGTAGCCCCACAGAAAAAATCACATGGTGTTAAGTCCGATGAACGAGGTGGCCAAGACAGGAGCTTCTGATCAACGTCGGTCCCGCGTCTGATCCATCGCTGCGGTAAGTGCTGGTTTAAAAATGCTCTGACTTCCCTATGGAAATGAGGTGGGGCGCCATCTTGTTGCAGTATGAAATCAGCTCTGTCCTCATTCAGCTGGGGTAGCAGCCATTCAGTGACCATATCCAGATAAGTCAGTCCTGTTACTGTCTGTTCGGCAAAGAAAAACGGGCCGTATACCTTCATTTTGGAAACAGCGCGGAACACATTTCGCTTTGGGTGAGTCACGCTGATGTTCAACGTAACATTAGGGATTTTCCGTCTCCCAAACTGGAACATTGTGTTTATTAACTTTTCCACACAAATCAAAGGTTGCTTCATCACAAAAAATCAGTCGGTTACAAAAGCCATCTTCTTCCATTAGTTGTTGCAGTGCAGTGCAGAAAGCCCCCCTTCGGTGGTGGTCATCAGGTGTTAAAGCTTGAAGCAGCATTAGGCGATATGGCTTCATTCTTAGTCGCTTCCGTTAACACACGCCAAACTGTGGGTTGCGGTATGCTGAGTTCCCTGCTGCCTCTCGCAGTTGATTTTCTAGGGCTACGTAGAAGCTCTCTGATCTGGTCCACTTTCGCTTCTGACACGGAGGGACGCCCACTGCTGTTTCCTTTACACAGGCACCCCGTCTCCAGAAATTGTGCATACCACCTGTGAATAGAATTGTCGGAGGGCGGATCTTTCCCAAATTTCATGTGGAAGTGCCACTGGACAATGGTAACGGACCGATGATATTCGAGAGTACAAAACGCCTTCTCCTTACCGTTAGCCACCATATTGCAAAAGCTGACACCTGGCGGCCAAACGCGTAACTACTGGATGGTGGGCGGTACAGAACAAAACTTTGAGAGTTTCTCTATCCACCAGTGTAATGATAATAATCGTATGTTTAATGCATTGCCCCACAAAAATTCACAAAACCCCGACAATCTTTTTGAATAGTCCTGTATAATTCTCAGATGATGTAAATAAACCTGTAGATATAAAATTTGTTTGCAGTTTATCTAATAATAATGTCATTAGCTCACTTTATGTAATAACAAATGATACAGAATTTAATAGATAATAAATTAGAAAGGACATTGAAGGAAGCAGTCATGGCCTAATTTAAGAACCTATCCTGGCATCTGCCTAGAGAGACAGAGAAAAACCATAAAAATTTCAGCAAGCATAGCTGATATATGGGACAAGACTTGAAGCCCCTGAGACCTCCCAAATACAAAGCTGTGTCATTCGGTGGGTTTCATATTACCAACAAATACTTATAAGTATATATGTACATGCACATTATTTAAAAAGTTCTAAATGCATGTATAATATTCTTTTCATATTCAGTACTATCCATTTTCTTCTAAAAACAGAGTGAATGTTAAGTGGCCTCAAACTTTTATTTTATGCAGTCCATCACAACTCATTAAATTCTCTGAACTGGTCACCTTTCAAGCAGCTTGTATGGAAATATAATGCTACCGTAATGTATACCGTGCATTAACCGATCAAGAGCCAGTTGCTGGTTTGACTGTATACAGTCATTGTAAAAACACTGTAATGGGGTACAGTCATATTCAGAAATGAAGGTATGGAATAAGGCATAAGATTAAGAGGAAAAAAAAAATTAAGATCACTAGTTTGAGCACCTGTTTTAGTATGAAGTAAAAGATTGATATTTTCAAGTAAGAATGTCTAATGGTCATTGTGCAGAACTGCACGGCAACAAAAATTGAAGGTATTAAACTTTCACTCTATAAAGAATGCCAACAATAAGAATACTGTATAGCAAAAAAATTAACATTATTTTCTTCCTGCTATCCCTACAACATTACTATAGGTAAGAGATGCAAGGTTATAACTGCATTACAAGTAACTAGTTTATTACATGGCAACTGAAAAGTATACCTGACTTAATGAGAAACAATATCCTGTAACTTACTTGAAGTACAGAAAAATGTTTATGAAAATTAAAAATACCAAACAGTTTATCACAAATAGGAGCAACCTACATTTGGGAGTGTATAGAACATTTGCACATTTATAATTTACATATCAAATTTTACAGCGCTTTCAAAGTAATTTACAATTACCTCACAAGATTACAAGTGTGGTTAAATTCCCATTCAACATTTTACAAATAGGATGTCACATGACACATCAGAACAAAGTTTCTCAGAGTTTTTAATTTCCTTGTGTTGCACAAAGCATAAATTTGTGCAAACACATGTTATATAATACACAATGTGTAACATGGTTCCACTAACGTTCATTACTACAAAATGTTGTTTTACATATACATTTTTATAACATTCTGCAATTCACAGCAATAGGGAATTATTTTACTGTACTTTATTTCTAATCCACTGTGTTTTAGGAAAATTCATGGTTTCTTAATAATCAGCAGAATAATTCTGTTGTTATGCCATTATATTTTGACTACTTTATGAAGTCTTTGCTATATTATCTAAAAAAGTTTATATTTAAAACATGTAAAATGTTTAATGTAGTTTACCCTTTTTTCCTCTTCCTCTGCGTCTGCAAAAAGCCGCCGAACATTAGCCTCAGATTCACCAACATACTTATCCAAAATCTGAGGTCCATTAACTATTTTAGGTTCACGAGCATTCAACATGGTCCCAATTTGACGAGCCATTAGTGTCTTCCCTGTTCCTGGTGGCCCAAATAGCAGGATTCCTTTTACATGCTTACAACCTAAAACATGTACAAAACTAGAAACATAATATGAACTGAACAGTCGTAAAAGGGCCATTAAGTAAATTCCTTATGTGAATATGAAAGTCACAAGTAACAAATGTGTAAATGTGGCAACACATCTAGGGAGTGCACCATGTAATTGGCTCAACTGTGGTTAATATGATGACACATTTATTCAGTCTCAGCATTAACCCAGCACTGAAGTTTGGAGGAGAACTGAGGAATATAGTTTACACTTCTGCCAGTGACAAGTTGGGAGGTGTCATGGGAATACCACATTGATGAAGGATGTACTCCTCCTACTGGGAGCAAAACAGGATCCTTACTTGAGCAACAGAACAGTCATCCTGTAGCATCATAAGAGTTCAGCTGGTCTCTAGCACTGCCAAGGTACAGTTGTCCTGTAGCATTACTGGAGTAATGCAATTCAGAAGCAGTGAGAGAAAACATTGAGTTCATCACCAGTTACAAGCGACAAAGGCCAGCCACGAAAGAGAAAGACTGAGGTACAGAGACAGAGAAGCCAATATCCAATGTAGAAGAATTCATAATGCAGTATGATTCCACAGGGCCATTATACGAGGCGCATCCCAAAAGTAAGTTTCCCTGGGGCCTTTTACAGAAACAAAACACAATTTCATGGAAATATTTATTGCAACAGATACAGCAAGTGTCCAGCTATTTTTCAACATATTCGCCACCGGAATTGAGACATTTGTCATACCGTGGGACCAACTTTTGAATACCTGGGTCGTAGAAGTCTGCCGCCTGGGATTGGA